AAAATATATATATATATATATACACACACATACATACATACATACATACACTAAATACCGGCACACCCAATTATATAAAAGGAACATTTATGGATATGAAAAATCAGATAAGCACCAATACAATTGTAATGGGGGACCTCAATACCCCACTGTCACAAATAAGTTAATTAGACAAGAACAAACAAACAAACAAAGAACTATCAGAGCATGCCACACAACAGAATGTACATTCTTCTCAGCAACACAAGGGACTTTCTCCAAAATAGACTACATACTAGCTCATAGAACATGCTTAAGTAAATGCAAAGGAAAGGAAATTATCTGATGCATATTATCAGATTATAGAGGAATGAAATTGAAAATCAATGGCAAAAGAAACCACAAAAGCTACATAAACATATGGAAATTTAATAACACTCTCCTGAACAACAAATAGGTCACAGATAAAATTAAAGAAGAAATTAGACAGTTTCTACAACTAAACCATAATACTAATATGACATACTAGAACTTGTGGCATGCAACTAAAGTCTGGTAAGGGAAATTTATGGCAGTGAATTCCCACATCAGAAAAACAGAGCAAGCTCAACTAAATAACCTAGTGTTCAACTTCAAGCTTCTAGAAAAAAAAGCAAATTGAACCCAAAGTGGAAATTATAAAGATCAGACCAGAAATTAATGCAATGGAGACTAAGAAAACAATACAAAGAATCAAGGAAATGAAGAGGTGGTTCTTTGAAAGATTAATTAAAATACACAAGTCCTTAGCCAACCTTATCAAAAAAAGGAAAGAAAAGGCTCAAATCCATGCAATTAGGAATCAAAAGGGTAAAATCACAACAGATCCTACAGAAATCCAGAAGATCATCAATACCTACCTCAAGAACCTGTATTCAGGCCAGGAATTTAGCTCAGTGGCACCACGCCTGCCTCATAAAAGCAAGGTGCTGAGTTCGATCCCCAGTAGCAAAAAAAAAAAAGAACCTGTATTCTAAGAAGATAGAAAACACAGAAGAAATGAATAGATTCCTAGATGCATATGAATTACCAAAGCTGAATCAAGAAGATACAAAAATTCTAAATAACTCAGTATGAGTCATTGAAATTGAAGATATAATTAAAAACCTGCCAACAAAGAAAAGCCCAGGCCCTGACAGATTCACTGCTGCATTCTAAAAGAACTTTAAAGAAGATCTAATGGCACTACTTCTCAAACTCTTTAATGAAATTGAAAGGGAAGCAACACTCCCAAACTCATTCCTAGAAGCAAGCATTAACCTGATAATAAAAACAGAGACGAATACAACCAAAAAGGAGAACTACAGGCTAATTTCCTTAATGAACATAGATGCAAAAATCCCAAACAAGATACTGGCAAACAGAATACAGCAAATCGTCAAGAAGATTATACATCATGACCAAGTAGGATTTATCCCAGGGATGCAGGGATGATTCAGCATGCACAAATCAATAAATAATACACCACATTAGAGAACCAAGAACAAAAACC